AGGAGGAGGAGGAGGAGGAGGAGGAGGAAGATATCTATTACCCTGAACAATGGACCCATTGGACTGTTCAACACCCCGAAACTCTCATCACAGTCCAATGAGATTCACTGTTAGAAGAGAGGAGAAACAAGGAAAAGAAAGGCTAGAGCCGAAAAGTAAGGAGACAGCTCTCAAAGGGGAAGTAAGAAAGTTCACACACACACACACACACACACACACACACACACACACACACACACACACACGCCTGGGCAACAGGTCAGCTGGTCCATCACCCTTCAAGTCTTGGGTGTGATGGGCCTGCAGATTTGTACCTGGAGGTTTTGTAGTTTGCACCACAAGTTTAGGAATTAGCCACCGTGCTTCAGCTTTAGATTTGGAAGTAAAGAGCGCTTGGGATACTTACGGGCTTGGCTGTGCTGCACCAAGAGTACCGTGAGGAGAGGGAACGGGAGCATCATCAACTCCAACTAAAGTCCTTGTCTTTCCGGATTCTTTTACCTCAGGCGGTGACAGGCCCCTGATGAGTCTTTTTGAAAACCTGTACTCTACAGGCTCATGGGAAATTTGGTAACTGAGCAATACAAAAGGCCTTCTCCAATGAAAACGGGGACAGATATCTGATGTCATCAGTTGCTAGGTAGAACAGAGACCTACAAAAATGAAAGCAATAAAATTTAACCCCTTGTTGAATTTAGACACTGCTTGCTCCAATTCGTCAGCTTCTTTCCACCCAGTTCCCAACTGTTGCACAATCACATGCAAGGCACAGGGGAACAAAGATTAATAACTCAGATTACTGCCTTTGGTCTTTCTTGGAGTTTAGATTTCTTTAACCAACGGACAAAGAAAATGATACTTGGTTTCCAGGATTTGGACTCCCTGGATGTATCGTTTAGATTGTCCTGTAATTTTCACTTACAACTGTCTTTCCTTTACTTTTTCACCTAGAACAAGAGGCCCCCAACGTGCCTGTTGAAGTGGGAGAAGGAAAGGCTCTGTGGGGGCGATTCAGAAGGGTTGCTGATCATCTTGCGAGGAAAGCGATCTCCAAGACCGAGCTGTGGTCACGTTGTCATTAGAAGTTAGGAAATCGCAGCTGAAGCTGTTCAGGGAGCTAGGGAACAGGTCTAGACAGGAAAGAGGAAGTGCAAGAGAATGGAGAGAGGAATGCGGGGAAGGCAGTGAGACCAGCAGCCTTTGGCTCCAATCCAGGGACCTGGGTTTGATCCCAGCTCTCTGACACGGGGCAGAATCTCAAGTTGCACTAGGCTGGGCATCTTCCACTTTAAAAGGAATCTGGTGCGTATCCCACAGGACTGTGGAAGACTCAGCAAGGTTCTGTTTACCATGCACACGAGGGGCAGTAGAATCAAACACCCTGGTTTCCTCCAGTGATGAGTTGACTGATGGCCTGCCCTAAAGCTCAGAATCTGACTACAGTAGCACTTTATATGGCAAAAGGGACTTTGCAGATGCAATTGAATTAAAGACAGCGAGGTGGAGAGATGGCCCTGGATTATTTAGTAGACACAGTATAATCACCAGGTTTTCTTTTTTGAAACATAATTCTTTATTGACTGTTTGGGAATTTCATATCACGCACCCTAATCTCACTTACCTCCCAGTCCCTCCATATCTGCCCCTCACCCCAGCAGCATGCCCCTCCCACAGGAAATTAATTAAAAACAAACAAACAAATCACCTCGATCCTCCATCTTTCCAACACCTCTTTATTCATCCTGGCATCAGGAGCTTCGGTGTGTCACGCAGTAGACCCTTTTGTCCAATCAGCCCCACCAATAAAATGTTCATTGCAATGAATCATGGGTCTGGTTCAAGGCCTCTGGCATGCCATCATCACTGGACCCTCACCCAAACTCCCCTCAGACATCCTGCTGTTACCCTGACTCATGGAGACCCTGTGCACTCCAGCAGGTCATAGGTGGAGTAGACGATAGGGTGGGCCAACCCAAAGCCCAGGATGTGGGTCTGGGTGGCAACTGAGCTGGTCAGGCCTGGCCACTAGAGCCAGCTCTCCTAGGCCCATGCCATGGAGGGGAGGGCAGTTCCCATGGCAAGGGGTAGGGTCATCTCTCCCATTGGGGGTGGGGTCACTGTAGCTAGAGTTTTCCTGCCTTGCCCACAGTCAGGACAAATCTTTGTCACCCGCCAGTCCCACCGC